CGGGACTGGTGCTGAGAGGATATTCATGCTCCAGAGCTCACCCTGGGATCAGGAAGAACCCAGATCCTCTTCGACCCCTTTTTGCTTTTGTCTCTTTCTCTCTTCTCAGAGAAGTCCTTCAGTAAGTCATAGGCAACAAAATCCTTGTCTCAGGCTCTGCTTTCAAGGAACCTGACCCGAGTTGCCTATTGTCATTTTAGAAATAGTCTTTGTAATGAAATTACTAGAGTACTGCTAGTGGAAACTTAAACAAGAGTATTTGGGTGACTGAAGAAACAAGACATATCAGCCATGCACTGCATAATAATGATGTGTTTTTGGTCAACAACGAACAGCAGGTGCAATGGTGGTCACAGACCAGCTAAGTCGGTGGAAGTGCACTCTGTGCTGTTTATACAATGGCAGCATCACCTAATGATACATTTCTCAGGACAGATGCCTGTCTTTAAGCAACGACGGCTGTCTTTGTAAAACCGAGAGCCATCCTTCAAACAGTGCCCTGTTCTGACTCTCTTTCCTTGACACATTCATTTAACAAATGTTATTGAATTAAACAGTGAACCCAATCTTCTGCTAGATTATCGGCAAACAGAGATAACTCAGTCAAGGAACTCGTGGGAAAGCTGGGAACAATATATAAACATCAGATTGCCCAGCATGCCGAGAAATACAGAGAAAAGGTTGATAACTTTAGGTAGAATGGACCAGAAATTTGAAGACAGGAGGCAACCAGATGACTTAGAACCCACAATAGGAAGCTTTTCTATGAGGAGATCGGTAGGAAACCATCTATTGTCTTCACTAGCAGAGAGGTGTGGACTAGGACAAGGAACTGGGAATGCTGGTGACCCTTGAACCCTGGCATTGTCTCCACTAAACAGTCACCCTAAGCACCCACTGTTTAGTGGAGACAAAGTTGCTGAAGCAACTTCCCCACCAGACAGTTACGTAAATCCTTACTGATAAGATAGCCTGTCTGTTACTGGAAACGGCCTGCCGAAGGGCTATAGGTATTTCCCAAACTGAATAAAGGATGGCAAGGCCTGAGAAGCCCTTTCTCTTGCATTGGGCTTGCCCACCTGGCCTCCAATTTTTCCAAATATCTATTTCTTGTCCCATCTCTTTCATTTGCGTGTGGTCCCCTCTTCAGATCCTGAACCCTGAACTACACTGGACATGGATCAATCACATAGATCTTAAGTTATATCCAAATTACTGTACCTCTGATGTTTTACTTTTTGACAGTTGACCAATTTGTGCAGTTGTTTTTCTTTAACCAGAGACATTGAGACACATAAGCTTCCTCCCATGGATAACTACTAGTAACTTCAGGAGCATCTAAATAGAATGTTTAAAATGTACCTCAAAGATGTTTGTTACAGAATTGTTCATAATACTGAAAAGTTGGAAATGATGCAAACTCAGGTTAAATACATTATTACATGTGATCCATAAATTACCATGCAGCCATCATGGGAACAACAAAGTTCCAGAGGTTTGATGAGTTGAAAAGATGTTCTCAGTGGGACAAGTGGGGAAAATAAAGCTTCCAAAATAACATAGGCATGCCTATTGTAGGTGACCCAAAAGGCAACTTCCTACTTGGTGTGAGACATTAGGCACTATTATGTCATGATTTTCCCTCTACCTACAGACATATGTAACTACTAGATTATTACCATAATCAGTGTGGTGTTTATTTGTGTGTGTCTGTTTAAATATATTTTGATTTCAGAGAGGGAGAGATAGGAACATCAATGATGAGACAGACGGGCTGCCTCCTGCACGCCCCCTACTGGGGATCAAGCCCACAACCCAGGCATGTGCCTTTGACTAGAATTGAACCTGGACCCTTCAGTTCACAGGCCGACAGTCTATCCATTGAGCCAGACCAGCTAGGGCTATAATCAAGGATTATAAACAAGGATTGCCAAGAACACAACCTGGGCATGTACCCTGACCAGGAATTGAACTGTGACCCTTCCAGTTCATAGGTTGATGCTCAACCACTGAGCCACACCAGCTGGGGAAGTATTTTTTTAATGATTAACATTTTTCTAGAACTTGATTTTGATAATATTGATGAGTTTGCTTCTAACCAAGAAGTCAAATTTTAATAAATTGTGGTTTGGAGGTTAAATAAAATATTTAGAGTAATATTTTATATTTTAAAATCCTTACTTCTCAGTTTTTCAATTATTTTGCTCTTCAGCGGAGAGAGGCACATTGTAGGTGGTCAAAAAGTATCACTTGAGAGAATGGATCTCTATTTTTTGGATACCATAATTATTTGAATTATAGGAGGGCAAAGTTATTTCATGTTTATGGAATTTGAGAAACATATAGTTTTTATTCTGAGTCTCTTCTCCCTCTAGTGGAGGCAAGTGAGACCACAGAGGAAAGGAACTCAACAAGTGCAGCTTGATGTTACAGTAAGAAAAATTCCTACAGTGGAGATCACAGCTTTATTAAATTACATGGGAAATACAGGGTCCCTGAGGACAGTTTTAGAGCAACATGTAACAGTTTTAGAGCAACATGTAACACTGGTAGAGACAGAGCCTTGTGTCTGAAAGAACTTTGTTCAAGCATATAAATCTACACATCCTGATAACTAAGAGGAAATGAAGACTCAAACCCTTCTTTGTACTCAAATTGTTGCAATCAAATGCAAAATGTTGACAACCCATTGGTTATCAGTCAGCAATGTTTATCAGTCAGAAATGCTTACTAGCAAACCACTCCTGAAACGCTGCCGTAAAACCATGATACTTGATTGTCGATCCTGAGTCCATGGGTGGGCATGTGCTGATTTTGGCCGGGCTCACTCACTCCTGAGACTAGTCAGCTACAAGCTGGCTGTATAAGGACCGTCTCAGCTGCTATAATGGGATAACTGAGCCTTCCTCTACTTGTTTTTGCGTTGTTTTTAAAAATCTTTATTATTGAACCCTCCATTTGTTTTTCACATCCCCCCAGCAGATTAGCCCGGCCGTGTTCTCATGGTGGAGGCAGGAGTGCAAAAGCAAGCAAGGTCAGTCATGCAAAAGGCAAGAAGGAATGCAAATCCCGTGTTGAAACCTCTCTTGGACTCCTGTTCGCTACAATGTCATTGGCCAAAGCAAATTTCAAGGCCAAGCCAGAGGCAGAGCAGGGAGTGGTTACAAAGTTACAGGGAAGTGGGTATGGAGAGATGGAGACCATTCTTGAGGCCACTGATGCACTCAACCTACCACAGTTGCCTATGGTTAAGAACCAGGCCATTTCTTGCTTCAATATCCCTCACAACTATCCCCTCTGCGTTGAACACTCGGGACAAGCCAAGCATTCAAGGCCAACCTCTCCTAAATGATCAGATGTCCCAGCTCCCCTCCCAAGCTGTCACTGCCACAAATAACAAAGTCTGAGCCTCCATCAAGTTTCGTGATCAAATTGTCTTACACGTGATCATTATTGAACTAATTGAATCCTATTAAATAGGAAGGTGACTCAAAGTAAATATTTAATCTATTCTCTGCATCCCCAAACTAAGAGTTTATAGGATCAAAGGAGAAGAAGAGAGTCAAGAGGATGGGAAGAACTCTTGGTCAAGAGGTCGAAACCTGTGGCTGTGTGATGCTGAGGGAGTTACGTTACCTCTCAGAGTCCCAGGTTCCTTGCCTTCAAAATGGAGAGCAATCATTTATTCATCCAATGTTTATTGAGACACTACTAAGTATAATCCTCTGCACTCACAGAGTCCATGTTGGAAACACACTAGGAAAAGAAAACTTCTAATACAGGGCTAAAAAGCATGGAGCCTTAGGGGACACAGAGAGGTGCCATTTAATCCTATTTCAGATTCAATGCGTGCTTCTTGGTGGAAGTGATGACTAAGCTGAGACTCAAAGTGAGGGCAGAAATTGGTCAGTTTTTCAGGAAAGGTGTCCTATGAAGAGGGAATGGCATGTATAAGTCCTAAACTCAAGATGTTTCCTTTCTGGCTATCATCATAGCAAGCAGAAGAATATTCTAGCATACTCTAGAATATTCATTCAGGGATATAATACAAATTCCCTGGGGATCTCAGTAAAATTCAAGTTCTGACTGTGCAGATCTGGGGTGGGATCCGAGATCCTGCTCTTCTAATGAGGTGAGACTGACCCATGGACCACACTTTGAGTAGGAATGAAGGGAGGATTTCTATAATTAAAATTTCCATCTTCTTCCCTTCCTGGCACTTCAGACTTTATGGGGGTGTGGAGAGCAAGGTGGGACAGTGATACCTTTGTGAGCAGGGTAAATCCTGGCCTACTCTGAAAAAAAAGTTCCTGGAAGGAAGGGAAACGTTGGTTCTCTAAAAGGTCCCAAGAAACCAAAACACTTTCCAAAGGCTGTTGTCATCAAGTGCTTCAACCCCTTCATGAGAGGCTAGAGTCCTGCTCCATCAACCACTCCTACTTACCCACATAACTCCCCCGTGCTTCTGTCAAAGTAGCCTATATGTCTCTGTGCTTTGTTTGCCCCTGGGACTGTCGTGACAGTTTTACTGACCATTTCTTTGAAAGTAGGAATAGTCTTTGTCAAAGGGTAAGCCAGTCAAGTGGCAAATCCTTTACTGAGCACTGTGCTGTGTCAGGCACGTGGTAGGTGTTAGAGAGGTACGGTTGGAGCTACACACCAGTGAATATTAAAAAAAAAAAAAAAAAAAAAAAAGTAGCCAGATCATCTTGCTCATGCCATTGCACAATTTTCACAAAACTCTGGAAAGGCAAAGATTTGCAGAACACAGAAGGTGAAATTGTCACCTGGCAACGAAACTCTCGCTTCCCAGCAGAACACAAAACAATGAGGAGACTGTCCACCGATCCACGCTCTGTATCGCCCAGGATACCCTTGGGCCGGTGTGATCTTGTACTTTTGTATTAAGCCAGGAAGAGACAATTTTGGGACAGGCTCCTGTAGACGATTGCTTTCCTCCCATGTTGCTCCATTTCATATGGGAAAAGCAGGAAAAGGCTTCAAGTCTGTGAAGAGAAATCAGAATCAGCAGCAGGATTAGTACAAATACAATTCCAGGGGTCATATCTATAAGGGGCATAGGTCTTCTAAATATAGAGAGAATACAGCAACAAATATTGGAAGGATACGCATTGTAATGTTAACAGTGATTATTCCCAGCGTGGCAGGCCTTGTTGGCAAACTCAAGAGCTATTCTCAAACCCTTCACCAATGATAACTCCCATTCTCTAAGCTAGAAAGCCAAATACTTGATTTATCAAATGCCTTTTTAACTATGGGTGGTCACGCGATGCAGTTCTGGCCATTTAGATGAACTGGAAATCTGTGGAGGTTCCTGGGAAACCTTGTGTATCCTGTTAAAGGGAGAGGACTGGAAGGAGACTGCTGCTTCTGCCCATCCCTCTTCTTCCTGCCTTGACCTTGGTCCTGATGGCTGGAGCTATGGCAGTCATCTTGCAACCATGAAAATGATTCAATGGGAACCCAACATGCTGCTAGTGGAATGGCAACTTAGGGAGCGTCTAGGTCCTTTATGATACTATCAAGCAATAGAACCAATACCAGCAACCCCTAACGCTGGGCTTCTATTCTTGCAAGAAAAACACTTCCCTGTTTAACTAAACCACTGGATCTTATTTCGAGTGCTTGTAATATATCAGTGAAAGAAATAAAACTTTCTAGTGGAGGATGGAAGACCATGAGTCATAAAATAAATAAGGAGCTATAGCATGTTGGAAAGTGGGGTGCCATGCAAAACAAACAAACAAAAGAAAACCCAAGAAAAAACAGGGTAAAGAGACAAGGAAAACATGAACACCAGGGTAGAAGAAGAGGGGGAAGTTCAAAACAGAGCTGTCAGAAGAACTCCGCAGATAAGAAATGATTGAAATAAAGATTTGAAGGAGGCAAGGGAAGTGGGGGGTTGGTCCTGTGGGTAGCAGGACAGGAAACATCTAAGACAGTGAGCTTCCAATTCAGAGTTCCTAAGGAGGAAGAGAGCCTGGCATGTTTGAAGAATCCTGAGCAGGCCCTATGGGTGGAGCAGAGTGAAATCGGGGAGAAAAAGAGTCAGAGCAGAAAGGGCTTTGTGGATCCCCGGAGCACTTCTGCTTTTACTCTGGGTAAGGTGGGGGCCTCGGAGTGCTGTCGGCAGAGAAAGGAGGTGACCTGACTCCTGTGTTCACAAGAGCCGTCTGGCTGCTACAGTGAGAGCATGCCAAAGGTGGGGCAGGGAAAAGGTGGCCCGGAAGCAGAAAGACCCCTTAGGAGGCTATTTCCATAATACTGGTTAGAGACCGAAGAACCTGGACCAGAATAAAAACAGTGAGAGAAGAGAAGTCTGATTCTGTACACATTTTGAGGAAGTGCCAATAGGATTTGCTAATTGGTTGGAAGTGGAGGGTGAGAAGATACGCAGAGTCAAGGATTACTCCATGGCTTCACACTGAGCGACTAGACAGAGGGCAAATGGGTAGTGGGAGGGTCAGAAACTCATTCGGAACATGCTACGTTTCTGACACCTATCCAAGTCGGAGCATTAGTAGGGGGTTGGTTATATGAGTGTAGAATTAAGGACAGGGGGCTGGACAGCACATTTAAACTTTAGGGGTCATTGCCAATAGATGGTGTTTAAAGTATGAGTTTTGTTGTGCAGACAAAAATGTGTGCTTCAACAGAAAACAATGCATTGTCAGAGGGTCCCTATGTGGGAGTTATAAAAGGTATCACTATATATAACTGTATATATCTATATATGTATGTTTTTTATAAAATATATCACAATTTTTTTTTTGCAAAGTGGCCATTTTTATGAGAGTGGGGCGTTTGATCTCAGAACAACGTTCCATTAAGGCTCTTTTATTCAAAAATTGCCATCATGACTGATAAAGTATCTTCAGTGTTGCAAGACTTACATGGTAAACATAACACCCCTACCTACACTTATTCAGTAGTGTGCACTCAATGGAAAACAATAGGGCATTAGTAACAGCTACTTCTTTTCAGCAGGTATGCAGGTAACCGGAATGAACACTGACTTCCTAGGATAAGTTGATGACAGAATTACACAAGTTAACTGGCGTTCCTTTTGAAGGTGGGAAGTTACACTCAATACAAAAAAAAAAAATGCTTTCAATGCATAGTGTTATATCCATGCTCTCATGCCACAAAAACAACCTTGCCAAGCCTCACAGAACTGCAATCACGTGCAATGATAAATAATACTGAATGAAGTTTACCAGCTGACCATTGGGTAATACCTTCCCGGCATCCCATTTGCTTACCCGTTGCAGTACTCTAAACTAGTCCCATTGACAATCACATCCAGCGGGGTGCTTGCTGCAAGGGAGGCATGTCCCCAGTTGTTTTGGCTACACTATCATGGGAAGGCATTCCTGGGGTTCTGCATCAAAGTAACGGTATTGAACAGTCTAATGGCAATCGCTGATAGCCTGCTCACATGAACGATGGTTCCTTCATCCATTGTGTTGGAAGGACGCAGTGGGAAGGGGGAAATCAAAAACAAAAAACTAACACTATTCCAATGGTCTGGGCTGGAGAAAGGGAAGCGCCTTCGGATCCACATGGCACTTGACCGTCATTTTATAAGGGTTTTCCTTCCAATGAAGCTGCCACACTGCCTCCCAATCTCTCTCCAAGTGTTGAACGGTCCTTTACGGCATTCAAGCCGTTCGCTTGCTACTCAGGTTTAATACTTTAATGCTGGTTTCTTCTTAATGCATCACTAGAGCCAGCATAAGCCATCGTGCTTTTAAAGGTGCACTTTCAGGATCCTGTAGTGCCCAGGGCTGTGGCCGCACAGCTGGGCTCCGGCTAGGCAGCACGGGGAGGAGGAGGATAGGAGGTGGAGGGGAGCGGTGAGGGTGGGGCATACTGCTCTATGTTTTAAACAACAGTCAGCAAGGTAAAATAATTCTGTGGAAAAAACAATTTTACCTCCATTTGCACATTCATTTAAATATTTGTGAAATTATGTACATATGCATTATAATCCATGTATACATATGTGGGAAACATACATATGTAAAATTATACATATTATATTATAATTTCATGTATATTTATTACTGCATGTATAGTTTTATTATATATAATTAAATGGTATATTTTATATATATAATTGTCAATGAGGGAAACAGGCAGATGTAATAACTGGCTCAAAATAGAATGCAAAAACAGCTATATATATATATATATATATATATATATATATATATATATACACACACGCACATATGTATACACACACACTACACAATACACATTACATAATGCATGTGTAATGTATACACATATATAATGTATACATAATCTTATATAATAAAAAGCTAATATGCAAATGATCATCATGCCCTCGTGCCCTTGCACCAGGGCTGGGAGACCTGAGGCCCAGTCAGGGACTTGAGGCCGCACCCCCAACCCAGCAGGGCTTGATGGGGGTGAGGCCAGCCAGGCCTGGGTCTCTCGAGATTTTGAAGCATGCATGGGTGGGTGGGGACTTGACTCTGAGTCCAGAGGTACACCCCAGACTGACATGAGGGAGATTTTCATATACATTTTACTAATTTTCTTTCATCTCGGACTTTTCTATTACAGAGAAAGGGCAAGTAGTAATATTAAAGTATTTCCTCTAATTAATTCGCTTTTAATGTGCATAAATTTCATGCACCAGGCCACTGGTATATACTATATAATGCATATCTATATATATAAAAGCTTAAGCAACTTTTCGGCTGGTAGCTATTATCTGCAATGACCACTAGGGGGCAGACGCTCAATACACAGAAATGGTAACATGGAACAGACTGATGAATCTCAGAGGGAAAGGGGGAAGGGAGAGTGTGGGAAGAGATTAAACAAAGATCTTATATGCATACTAGAGGCCCTGTGCATGGGTGGGGTCCCTCAGCCTGGCCTGCAGGGATCGGGCTGAAACCAGCAGTCTGACATCCCCTGAGTGATCCTGAATTTCGAGAGGGCGCAGGCCAGGCTGAGGGACCCCACTAGTGCATGAATCCATGCACCAGGCCTCTAACGTTAATATATAATGTGTAAAAAGCTTGCATGATATATAATACCCAGGTATTATATACAATGCATGTAAAATAGACATAACATATATTACACAATGCATATACATATCTGTACTTACACTTTTGAGCCAATTATAACATCTGCTTGATTCCTTCACTGATTAGTGAGTAGAATCAAGATCCTTAACGTAAGCTCATTTTATAACTATATGAGTCATGATTTTATCTTGGTCAGGTCACATAACTCCTAAAAGGCAAAGCTAAGATTTGAACCCAGTCAGCCTGGCACCTGAGCCCCACACTTCACCAGTGAGCTAATACACGTGGACACACTTAGCTCACTGCAGGTACTAACATACAGCAGGGTCTAGTATTGCTAAGAAGCAGGCGTGCCCTCCAACAGAACCTGTGTCAAACACCCAGTCTCTCACCGTTTTGGAAGTGGAGGGGATGGATGACAGTAAGACCCCTGAGGTCTGGGACTGGGAGCTGGGTTTGGCCTTCCAGGTGATCCATCTCCTGTATTCTTCCCGGACCTGGAGTTGGAAACAGACATGAGGTGATGAGTCACTCTCAGGGGCAGGAAGTGTGTTCCACAGGCAAGTCCCCTGAGAGGGGGAAAGTCAGGGACAGGGAGGGCAGCAGCTGCATACCTGGCGGCTGAGCAGACAGTGAATGAGGAAGATGAAGGCTCCCTGCAGGCTATTGATGATGGTGAACAGGTAGGCCATGACACTGGCGATGGGGCCTACCTGGAAAATGCCCAACACCCAGGAGCACCCCAAGATGAAGAGCTGGGCAAAGGCCTTGAACGTCAGCAACCTGGGGGAGAAGATTTGCAGAGGGTAAGGTACTGGGAGATGGCTGTGGTCCTTGGGGGTCATGCTCCCAAGAGTGGTCTGAGGCTGCCACTCTATGACCCGCCACCAGGGTGCGAATAGATGTGGGGCAGAGTCTTCAAGGCTAGGGGTAGGAAAACCAAATTCGATAGGTATCTGAAAGGCAACACATCTACAGACATACCTGGGCATGAAGATGTGTGAACAGATATTTAATGCAATTGTCTGAAAGCCAGAAGGATCCACATGTCCATGAATTTGGGACACATTTTGTCAATAGTAAAGCCATGGTATAAAATACTATAAAGCCCCCTCTTTAAAAAATTTTTTTAAATAGACTGATCCAAGATGGCTGCCCAGGTAAATACCTAGCCGCAGCCGCACACAACAATTTCTATAAAATACAACTAAAATATAAAATGGACATTACCCAGAACTACAGGAAAGTCGACTGACTGGAAATTCTACAACGAGAAGCAAGGAGAAAACCAGAAGGAAGCGCGGAGGAGCTGTAAAAGCCTAAGGTACGGAGACACAAGGTGCGCGCGGAGAGGACGGAGCCGGAGAGGAGGGCGGCTGAGTGCCTGGCTGGTGTTCCCTAGCGGGAAGGAGATAAAAACTCCAACTGTGTTGGGCCCCGGTTCCGACTGCTCTGAACCCCAACTAAGATTCCTGATGGCACCAACAACTGTCAGCCATTGGTTGGCATCTTTTACACTACTTAATTCTTCTTATCACTGCAAGTCTTAACTTCGACCTTTTTCCAGTAACTTTTTACAAACAACATATTAAAAATATATTCAAAATGGATGAGAGATTGGACACTGACAGAATAATAAGCAGAGGACTCGAGCAGGTTGCTGATAATAAAACCTATGGTGTCTGGGTTTCAGCAGGTTCTCAAGATGAAAATCAGTTGAGCGATGAAGTTAGGAAACACAAATGGTCTGATAATGGAAAAAATAAAAAGGTAGCAACCACTGCAAAGAGAGTCATTAATGTGGAGTCTGGAGGCTCAGAGGGAAATGGGGCCTCTTCAAGACTTGGGCCTTGTTGCAAATGGGCTGCTGAACTCAGCTCAAGGCTGAGCCATAAACATCCTGGAATTACATATAATTGCCCTCCTCCTTGCAGGGTTTTTTCCCTATTGCTTTTTTAAAAACACTGGGAGGAAAGAGGGAGAGGAGAAAGGAGAAAGGAGAGAGGAGAGAGGAGGAGGTGAGGGGTGGGGGGGAGACAGACAGCAGGGTGTTGACATATTGATTGGTTGCCTCCTGCAGGCTTCCTGACCAGGGCCAGGGATTGAATCTGCAACCCAGGTACATGCCCTTGCCTGGGAATTGAACCCATGTCCCTTCCACCCGTGACCTTTCCATGCGTGGGCTGATGCTCTAATCAGCAGGGTCTCCTTGTTGCTTTTGCTTCCCTCAGTTGCATACTGAAACTAACAAATCCTGGTAACCTAGCCAGCAACCCTTCATTTGCAGGAAAGAATTACACTGGGGGGAGGAGACTGTTGATGAACTTCTAATTAAATTTAAAAATACTCATGTTAGAGAAAACTGGTAATACAAATAAAATAGCATTCTGTTTTTGCAAATGTGCACATATAAGTGTGCACAAAGTAATTGGAAAACGTGTCAACCTATGTTCAACATATGAAACACTTTTCCTAGTTACCTGTTAGCATCGGGAACTGGTTAGTATTAATGAAGGAAGGGAACAAAGGGAATCAAGCATGAAGCCTAACAAGTGAGGGAGCTGGATTGGATATTAAGCCTGCTTCACTAGGAAGTTACAGCATTCACAGGCTCCCCAGGGGACCACCACATCCTCCACCCTGGGACTTAATCCCCAGAGGATGCAGAAAGCATCTCCCCCCGGGAACAAGCAGCCAGGTACCCGGATTTTCGCGGGGAGCAAGAGCAAACTCCTTACCTAGGCACATGCACAGTAGAAGCCAAGATGGCTCAGGGGGAGGTCCTTCTACCTTGAGGCATGTGCTGTAGGAGCCTGGATGGCAACCACAGAGGGGATGTACCAAGACTGGGAAAAGAATCATACTGGATGAGGGCACTGAACCCTGAAGGTCCCCAGAAGGGATGGAATCGGGGGAGGACCCAGTACAAGCCCAGAAAAACCCAGGAAGTAGGTTGGATAGTTTGAAAGCACTCTTGCTCTTATCTACAATAATAAAAGTGTGATATGGAGAGCGATCAAACAACCGAACAGCAGAACGACCGTCCAGACAACTTTCCAGACAACCACGCTATGACACGCACTGGCGCCAGGCCAGCCAAAGCAGGTGCGATGCGATTGGCCGGGAGCTCCGCCACTGCCCCATGATCTCCCTGCAGAGAGAGGCCCAGGCTACCTGGCCTGCAGCGCTGTGGTGGGTGGGCTATTGATCTGGGGGCCCTGTGATAGATTGCCCCACAAAGGGAGGCCCAGGCCAGCCAAGCGATGGCACCCCATGCCTGTCGCCCGCAGAGGGAGGCAACAGGTGGCCAGGGAGGGGAGGGGCAGTGCCCCACAGATGGCAAGCAGTGGTAACGGTGGGGATGGGGCCAGGTGCTGGCAGTCTGGGGAAGGAAAGCCCCAATAGACCCTGATCCCCAGCCAGGCCTAGGGATCCTACCCAAGGGGTCCTGGATTGTGAGAGGACATAGGCCAGGGCGAGAGACACCCCCCCCTCCCCTGCACGAATTTTGTGCACCTGGCCTCTAATTATATATATATATATATATAATTATCAAGGATTATCAAATGCTGCTAGAGCCAGCCCCCTCTACATCCCCAAGGTCATATTATTTTCCTTCACCCCGATAAATCTTGCCACTACATTTAAATGTCTCCCACACAGATGCCCTTTGAAATTCCTTTCTCATGACACCACAAGAATCCATTTTCAAGAGCAACAACTGTGCTAAGCGCTTCATAAGCCACATAAAGTGTGCAATACCAATACCCCCATTTTACAGATGAAGAAACTGAGTTTCAGAGAGGTTGTGTAACTTGCCTAAGGCCACACAGCTTGTAAGCGGCTGAGCTGGGTTTGAGCCCCAAATCTAGACACTACGCTATTCTGCCTTGGGTAGAAGACCAGGCAAAGGTACTCATTTGTGGAAAGAAAGAAGGAAGACAGGAAAAAGAGAGAGAGGAAGAAGGGACCACACCTGGTGTCTTTGAGTGTGGAGATTTCAGCATTGACGCTGGAAAGTTTCTGCTTCAGGATCCACAATGTCCAAGTCAGGAGGACAGAATTGATCTACAAAGTCAAGCAAAAGGGACTGAGAGATTGGATACACAAGCTGTTTAAAAAAAAAAAAAAAATGGAACAAGCATGGGGGAGATAAGAGATCAACCAAAGGACTTGTATGCATGCATTTAAGCATAACCAATGGACGCAAATGGGGCTGAGGGCATGTATGGGAGTGAGGTGGAGGGGCAATGGTAAGATATATACACATATAATACCTTAATAAAAAAAAAAATGGGGGGAAAATGGAACAAGCATTACTAAGAAAGAAACTTAAAAATAGATTCAGGAGGCTCCAAGCAAAGTGGGCCTCTGTACAACTTGTGCCTCAGTTCTCAGAGCTGCTATTAAGTTGCTAACCTGTTGCTAAACTCAACTCAAGGCGGAGCCATAAACATCCTGGAACAACAGGGAAACTCCCAGTTCCACCTCCTCCCTTGGTATGGAAACTAACCAGGCCTGGGAAGACTTCCGCTTTAGGGGTTTTGTCTGTATAGACCCAGCCTCTCTTTCTCCCAATTTAGGTTGATATCTAAGTAACCTGTATCTCCAGGGCTGCCACTACTTTTGCTCAAATAAATGCTTTTCGTTTTTCGTCACAGTCTGCATTTAATGTTGGTTGGTAAAACAGACCATGGCCAAACCATCTTTCAAAATGGAACTCTGGCCCAGTCTTCAGTAACCGCTCCAAGAAGCCCAGCTATAAGGGCAGTAGCCACTGACTCAAATCAACCAGGACTCGGTTAATAATCGGCAGCCTCCCTCATTTCTGCCCTTGATTCCAGCTTAGGACCAAAAGTAGAAAGCCAGTGTGTGCCGTAGTCCCCCTACAAGGTCTCCCTGCTCACCACCTCTGATCCAGGCACACCTGAGGCTTCCATTTCCACCTCTATCCTGCTTTCCCTCCTCCGCCTGCTTCTGGAACTAACAAATTGATGACCTGACTCTTTTCCTATAGCAATCTCTGGAGAAACAGTCTTTGCTGTTCTCATCTGGGTAATCTCATTTGGATATTTCCATTTGATGCATCTGGGAAATTGGACTCAAGACAGGTTCCCTGTTATGGGTTGAACTGTACCCCGCCCCCAAAGATAGGTGGAAGCCCTAATCCCCAGCACCTTGGATCTTATTTGGAGATGTGGTCTTTGCCGAGGTGATCACATTAAAATGGGGTCAGTGGAGTTGGGCCCTGATCCAGGATGACTGGTGTCCTTATAAGAAGAGGCCGTCAGCCACAAAGAGACCGGCATGCACAGCGGGGAGACCATGTGAGAATACAGGAAGCAGACAGACATCTATAGGAGAAGAAAAGCCTGGGGCTACCCGTAGTTGGTGAGAACACTGGAACAGATCCTTCCCCAAGGCCTTCAGAGGGAGCTCGGCCCAGCCGACGCCTTGATTTCAGAGATCTAGCCTGCCTCCGGCACTGAGACAACAAAATCCCACTGTTCTAGGCTACCCTGTGTGTGACCGTTTGTTCTGGCAGCTCTAGAAGAGGAATAACATGACCCTGGAAAATCAGATAGGGGTCAGAGCAAAACTCTCTGGAGGAATACAGCTACAAGAATTCCCAATGTTTAGATTGGCCACATATGAGCTCATAACTAACAATGACAAGCGACACAAGGAAACAAGCCACCAGGGGTGACAAAGATCATCTCGAAAGATTGTGGAATCTGGGTTGGCACCAAGGAGGAGAGAGATGGTTGTTGCTCAGCCTCCCTCGGATGCTCTGATTGCCAGGGATGTGGGGAAGGAAATTGAGGGGGAGAGGGCGAAGGGGATGTTGGGCTAAGGTTACAAAGTCTCACTGATGCAAGGTGAGGATTTCCCCAGATCTAATATACAGCATGGTGACTGTAGTTAACAATATCTTGTTGCATTCCTAAGATTTACTGTAAAGGTAGGTAGGTCTTAAATGTTCTTCCCTGCTATTTTCAACAACATGGATAGATCTTGAGGGTTATTAGGCTAATGAAATAAGTCACACGGAAAAGGACAAATGCCTATGATTTCACTCAGAGGTAGAATATAAAACAAAAGTAACCAACCAGAAAAACAAAACAAAAACAAACTCTTTGATAACAGAATGGTAGTTACAGAAGGGTAAGAAGGGTGGGAGAGAGGCAAATGGGTAAATGGGGACAAATACATATAATGAAAAGAAACCAGACTTTTGTGAGCATGCAATAGAGTGCACCAATGTCATCTATACTAATAAAAGGGTAATATGCTAATTAGACCAGGTCAACTGGACATCTTCCAGATGTCCGACTGCCTTCTGGACAGAGCAACGGTGCAGGGACTGAGGTAGAAACCATTAGGGGTGATCAGGCCGGCAGGAGAGCAAGCAGTTGGGGTGTGATCAGGCCAGCAAGAGAGGGCAGTTGGGGTCAATCAAGCAGGCAGGCAGGCAAGTGGTTAGGAGCCAGCGATCCTGGATTGTGAGAGAGATGTCGGATATCCCTTGAGGGGTCCCAGATTGAAGAGGATACAGGCCGAGCTGAGGAACATCCCTTCCTGTGAATGAATTTCATGCACAGGGCCTCTAGTGTTATAATAATACACCTGAAATGTGTATACAGCACAACCAATACTATGGCAATAAATTTAACTTTAAAAAAAGGAAAAAAATGGTAACTATGTGAGGTGATAGAAATGTTCATTGCCTTGATAGTGGTGATCATTTTACAAGACATACGTAAGTCAACGTTTCAAGTTGTTCACCGTAAGCTTATAATTTTTATGCCAGTTATACTTCAATAAAACTGAGAAGAACCCTTCTCTACCTTTTCCTTCATTCAACATCTGTGCTCAGAAGAGATTAATAGACCCATTTTGCTGAAACGCAAAGGACAAAGAAGACTGTGGTCCCTCCCAGGGATAAGCATGCTGCATTAAAAAAAAAAAAATTTTTTTTTTAAATCACTAGCCAAAGACATTCCATTCCAGCTTGGAAGTCTCAAGAATCAAGGATCAGAAGGGAGAACGTTTGAGAGGAACACGTGACCTCGGCTCTGCAACTCCCGCGGGCACTCCCAGATCTCCCGGTTCAGTCCCTCCTCCAGAGCCCACAGCCCCAAGCAACTTGCTTACCAGTATGATAGCGCACACAGGCCCCAGGAAACTCCAGATGAACCCTGTCTCGGTATTCAACCAGCAGCTAAGGAGAGAAACAGGAGGAGTCAGTGCATGCCTCAGTCTTGACCTTCAAGTTAACTACTCCAGCCAAGTGCAGAAGATTGGGAGATGAGATGGAGATAAAAATAAATAAGTAAATAAAATCTCATGATGGGGCAGGTGGCATTTCAGTTTTCTTTGGACTCCAGCAAGTCCTCTATCTGACCTCCTTCCCGAGTAAGTGTTCCTGAAATGCTCACTTCGTGCTGTGCAAAGAGGCCCTTCTCAACGCAGAACCTTTTCATCACTTTTCCCTCTTTTCAGGACTCCCCATGGCACACCTTGTCCTTCAAATGTCAGTTCAAATGTCACCTCCTCAGAAAAGCCACTCCTGACTGTTCCTGACTAACTATACTGTCCCTGCTCCTGGTCCCGCTCTGGCAAAGCTTGCTGCCTTTTTATATGGCATCTATTTGGACCATAAATATCATGTTCAGCTTGTGGACTGGCCGATTGCCCACCTTCCCCTACTAGACTATGAGCTGCTTGAGAATTTAGACCTTAAATGCCTGTTCTTCTCTGAATACCCAGCGCTGCTATGGACACGGCATTCCATAACTATTTGTTGAAAGGAAGGACCTTGCCATTTGCAGCAACAAAGATGAAGCCTGAGGGCATGACACTAAGTGAGATAATCGGACAGAGAAAGGTGAAGGACGTCACTTATATGTGGAACTTAAGGGGGAAAAATAAGCTCACAGACACAGAGAACAGATAGGTGGCTGCCAGATGTGGGAGTGGGGTGGAGGTGAGAGAAATGGGTGAAGGAGGTCAAAAGATGCAAGCTGTCAGTTATAAAATTAACTAGTCCTGGGGATGTAATGTATAGCATGGTAACTATAATTCATAATGTTGTCTATTTTTAAAAATATATTTTATTGATTTTTTACAGAGAGGAAGAGAGAGGGATAGAGAGTTAAAAACATCGATGAGAATCATCGATCAGCTGCCTCTTGCACACACCCTATTGGGGATGTGCCCACAACCAAGGTACATGCCCTTGCCCGGAATCAAACCCTGGACCTTCCAGTCTGCAGACCAACGCTCTATCCATTGAGCCAACCTGGTTTTAGCCATAATGTTGTCTATTTTAAAGTTGCTAGAAGAGTAAGTGTTAATGTAAAAAAAAAAAAAAAAGGGAAAGTTCTCACAAATGAAAAGTGTGTAACTAAGTGAGAGGATGGATGTTAGCTAGATTACTGTGGTGATCATTTCACAATATATAGAAATCTTTTATCGATATGCTGCCTTTATTAAACGTGTACCTTCACAGTCAAAACATAAACCAGGCGTCACATGAGAGCATACTATTCTGCTTTACAAATGGCATTGACACATTCTCCAGAAACATACTGACATTCTGCTCCAAATGTATGTTGAATTTCCAAAACCCACCCACTTCCAGCGTGTATGCCACATGGGTATGTCGGATTGCACCCTGTGCTGTCAGGATGGGCAGTCTAGTTCCTGGAATCCAGGGAAAGCTGGCCTATTGAGGCAACTGATTGTTGTGACCACTGGAAAACATAAGACTTTCTGGTGACTTGGGAGTGTATTAGCTGTAAGAGAACATTCCATTTTGTTTGCAGTGATCCATATGGGGTGTGACAGGTAATTAGGGAATCAGAGCTTATAACAGACTTCTATTAGATAAAGCCCTTTTAATCACTTCCTTCTATCTCCTGAATTACTCCATAGTAGCTATAATTGTTTTATGATTTCCTCTGAATGGTCAATTAGCAGTGATTGGCCTGTCTCCCTTTTCCCCTAGCAATAGCACAGACATAGTCATTCGATTAAATTGTTCTTTCTTTTGGAAACTCTACCGAGAGACTGGGGGATGCGATACTGTTGCATCCTTAGCAGTTTTGGTGGTAGACGGGATTGAGTCTTGGACAAAGTGAGGCCGAGCGGTCTCCTTTACTCTTTCATTGCCCTGTGCTCTGCAAAGCTAACTCTTTTCAGAAAGCCTGGAGGATGCTGAGCAGCTTTTGATGAAAGCAAGGCTTGCTTTACTAAATACTTGTACAGCCTTTCCTGCTATGAACTGGTCACTCTATAACTGTGTGCAGTGAACGGACAGTGGTGTGGACCTTTAGAGGTCACACAAAGATCCGGAACCTTTCTGTTCTCAGTGGTCACTGCTTATGCCTCCCGGGGCTGTGTATGGCGCTCTCAGTTGAGTCTAATACACAAGAATTGCTTGGCTTTCCATGGCAGGGTATGCTTCTCTTGGTAAGCACATTAAGAAGGGATCCTATAGTAGACACTGTGACAAAAGATTTTTGGAAATGTCTATCGGTGCTCAGGAATTAAGGTTTTCAAGCTAGAATGACCTGGGCTATGAGGAGATGGACAGATTCTTTCTGGAACAAAAACATCCATCATTCAAAATTATTATCATACGTAAAAACTGTGCATAGTTTTATTTGATTCTGGATGAGTTTTTTGTTTTGTTTTTTTTTGTTGTTGTTGTTTTTTTAATGTCCTTCTTGGAGATTCCAGTGAGAATTGCACTTAAATAGTGGAGGAAGGGAATATGCTTGCTGTCTCCTGCTCTTATGAAAAAAAAAAAAAAAAAAAAAAGCAACAACAACAACAACAACAACAAAACAACAAAAAAACATCTATATCAGAAAAACAAGATGTGGTGTTTGTCCCAGTCTGCTTTTTCTTGACTTCATATTCTTGGCCTTCATGGTTGTAAAATAAGTAAAAGCAGAAAACTAAAAAAAGGGTTACGTGGTCATAAGAATCTTAACAAAACGTCAACCTAAGTAATAGGACACAGGGACTTTGTCAGAGGGCAGGTTTGCTATGGCTCTGAACTTGGCCTCCTCAAACAGTAGAACTCTACTGCCCTGGGAGTCAAGTTTGACAACCACATGGTCTCTCCTGGCGCTGAGTCTCCAGTAGCAGAGGAACAAAGGCAGGAAAATGTCCACACCCAGTCAGAACCAACCTGGGTTTTGGCTACTTCCCTAATACTGGCTACTTCCCTGTGGGCTCTGCTTCTCTGCCTGCGGGCCTCGGGGCATCAGACTAACAGTGCTGGAGACTGTTCTCCTGGGAGCAGCCCCATCCAAGGGCTGATGGGAGGGAGCTGGTGGGTAAAGGTGCCGGCTCCCTCCCCCTTGGGTGGGATAACAATGGTGCACACCCTGCACGGTCTCCCCTTGGTACCTTTGGTATTAAACCCGGTGACCCCCAGCAGGACCTGCTCCTGAATTCACTTTGTGTGTTCCTGCTCCTCCCTGTCTCACTTCCCCACCCCCTTCCTCGTGCTTTGAGATAATCTCAAATTCTTGTCACTGATGCCTTCCTTTCCAAAACTTTCCCAAACCACCTACAGGCATTATCCAAATTCACTGCCCACCTCAGTCTCCCCTGTCTTCTCCCTGCCCAGTCTGTTCTTCAAACACACCTCAAGCTCTCCCCCGTGGGCAAACTTTCATCCTCATCGATGTTGCTATCCGCTTTCCTCTTTGCCGTGTGCCTTCCAGCAGAGCTTTTAAGAAAGACCCAGCTCCTCCCTCCTCCAGGCAGCCTTCCCTGGACTTTCCAGCTTTCAGAAGCCATTAGCCTCTGGTCTGTGCTGGGCTTATCCTACCTGATTATCCTACTTTGCATGGTCACCATCTCCTGACAGGACAGTCAGGCCTGAACTCAGCTTGGATGCTTCCAAGTTGTGTGACCCGGGCAATTTCTGCAACTGTCCTGAGCCTCGATTTCCTCTGCAGCCACCACTTATGAAGCTGTTACTCCATGTTGATTTGGTCTGGGGCTGCCATGCGCAGCAGCACAGGTTGTGCACTGCACAGACCAAGCGTATGATGTCTCCTGTGCATGATGGAGATGCTTCCATTTAACATAGGATGTTGGTTGGGAAGCCCCGGCGATAACAGGGTTGTGAAGCTTATGGGGTTTAGGTTACAATGGGTGCTCGCTGAGTGTGAGTTCTTTTCCTCGCCTCTTATCCTACCCCCTCACCTGAAGTAGAAACCATCATAAGACAGTGGGGAAACCCAGATCACTGAACACCCCCAAACACAGCTCAGCAGCGTGCCTACAGCATGGGGTGATAAGCAGAGACCCCGGGATTGGAAAGGCCCCGATCCAGGTCCTCACATGCCCCCCCTCTCACTGAGCCCATTTCCTCCTCTGTAAACTGAGGTAGCAGCACTCCCTCAGGGTCTGTCAGAGAACAAAGGAAACAGCACAAAAAGCGAGTTTCCGTCCCTGCCCTGTCCACCTCTCCCTTGTCCTAGAAGTCACCGGATTTTGTCCTCAAAGTGGATTCAGTCTTTTACTTACAAAACCGTGTCTGTGAAAGCATGAGTTTGGTATTCTGGCCATTTTTTTCCCCCCTACTTACTTACAAAATAAATACTTTTTAAAGTTAGCACATACCAGCATACTGCCTAAAATGATCTTGCTTAGAAACGTGGTAAACATACCTCACTTAGGACAGACCATATCGTAACAGCGATGCTAACCGCGACATGAGTAATGCTTGGCTCTGTGCCAGGCCCTGCTTTAGATGTTTTGCAGATAACAACTCGGTTCACCCTCACAACAGTGCCCTGATGTCACACGGCTCTTAGCCCCCACTGCACAGGTCAGGACACGGAAGCACCACTAGGAGGGAGTGGAGCCAAGACTCAAACCCAAGAGAGTAGACTCCAGAGTCCATGATTTGAAAACTGCAACCACGCCCTGACCGGGTAGTTCAGTTGGTTGGAGCATCGACCCACACACCAAAAGGCTGTAGGTTCGATTCCAGGTCAGGGCAAATACCTAGGTTGCTGGTTGGATCCCTGGTCGGGGCGTGTATGGGAGGCAACTGATTGCTATCTCTCTCTCTCATATCAATGTTTCTCTCTCTCTCTCTCTCTCTCTCTCTCTCTCTCTCTCTCTCTCTCTCTCTCCCTCTCTCTCTCCCTCCCTCTTCCCCTCTCTCTCTCAAATCAATTAAAAAACATACAGTTGCCGAAACTGGTTTGGCTCAGTGACTAGTACATCAGCCTGCGGACTCAAGGGTCTCAGGTTTGATTGCAATCAAGGGCATGTACCTTTTTTTGCAGGCAGTGGGGGATATGCAGGAGGCAGCTGATGGATGTTTCTCTCTGAACGATGTTTCTAACTATCTCTCTCCCTTCCTCTCTGTAAAAAAAATCAATAAAATATATTTAAAACAAAACAAAACAAAACATACAGTCAAGTCCACTGTGTACATCACCACCATTTACCTAGACTCCAGCGCAAGCAGGAGCCCCTGGCTCTGTGCATGCACACCCTATGCTGCTATCTGCGGCAGCCCCGAGAGCATCGGTATACAAAAAGCACCCTGACTGGTAGCCACGCTCCTGATAATGTCATCGCTCTTCCTGTGGCCCACATCACGATCACCGTGAACCCCGGCAGCACAGGGAGGGAGGGGAGGTCACTTACCGGTTATGCATCCCGTAGCCCCGCAGCTGCACACCGGCAGAGACGGCCACCACCAGCCCCGGGAGCCCGTAGCCAAAGGCGCAGAGATACCCCATCTTGACATTGCGGGAGTTGAAGTAGTTCACCACCTTCAGGTTCCTGACCATGAGGAAGAGCATCACGGCCTCCACCAGCATCCAGAAGAAGCAGGCGAGGAAGAGGTAGTGCAGCAAGCCCGCGATGACGGAGCAGCCTGTCTGAGAGGAGAACTGCAGGCACTCAGGACTCCCCGCCCGCTCCCAAGGGCCAGGGTCAGAGGAAGAGGGCAGGAGAGGGACTATTTTGATGGGCATTCCCCAAACACAGTCCATGCACTGGCTCATTCATTCATTCATTCATTCATTCCACAAATATTTATGAGAGAGTCTCCATCATGGGCTGTGCCCACCCTGTGGTGGGGTGACCCATCGCTCTGGTTTGCCTGGGACTGAGTTTTCCCAGGACATGTGACTGTAAATGCTAACCCTGGGAGCATTTGGGGTAAAAATGGGTAGAGGGTCCCCCACGTTAGGAGATGACTGACGATATGGGGGCAGGAGGTTTACAAACTACAGCCACTGGACTGACTGCCTGTCTTGTAAGTAACATTTCAGGGGCACACAGCCACGCCCACTTATGTATCCTCTAGGGCTGTTTTCAGACTAAGACAGCAGATGTGAGTAGTTGCAGCAGAAATGGTAGGATCCGGTAAAGCCAACTGTATCCTATCTGGGTCTTTATAGAAGCTTGCCCAGTGCTGGCCTATGATGGGAGTGCGGTGTAGCTACCAGCATTTCATCCCGAACGGTACTGGGAAGCCAAGCATCCCGCAGGGAGAGGGGGAGCTCTGCACAAAGCATGGTCACCTGCCCAAAATGTCAAGAGTGCTGCTTGTGGGAAACTCCAAGAGCCTCCTTTGTTTTGGGCACAGGTCTGGGGGTCAACGGGCCCAAGTTCTTGCTCTCACTGGGCACATACTTTACTGGCAAAAGCAGATACACAATGAAACAATAAATAATCAATATGGCTTCAAGTAAGTGCTGAGTAGGAATGCAACATGGAGTGGTAAGCTGAGTGACTCCGCTGTAGCCTTAATAATGGCTGTAACGCTATTGCCGGTTATTTTCTGTCTTGGGGGAGGGGGTGCTGTTCTGTGTGTTGCAACATCCCTGGCCTCCACTCAGGAGATGCCAGTAGTACCCTCTCCCAGTGGTGGCAGCCAATAATGCCTCCAGATAGTGCTAAATGTCCCCTGGGAGGGCAGAATCATCCCAGGTGATTAAGAATCAACCAATGGCTTAGAGTCAAAGGAGGGACGGCCACAACATATAATATGATCAGGGAGTCAACCAGAGGAGGTACTGGAGGATGAGTACTCTGAAGAGGGCATAGCATGTGTAAAGGTCCTGAGGTGGGAACTACTATAGAGGGAGTTGGGTAGGGATGAGTGGAGGCAGATGTGGAGACCATGGGGCTGGATGGGGGCCTAGCCTGAGGGATGTGAGACCTGGTTGTCGGTCTTGTCTATGCCAGTGAGGAAGAGAAACTTGGCCAAGAAGAGGCACACGCAGAGGTGCAGGTGGAGGTAAGTGTTGCGGTTGCGGATGGCACGACACAGCAGGAACGTGGCGATGGCCAAGAGGAGGCACACCAGGGAGATGATCATTCCCACGTAGCTAATGACATGCAAGGAGAAATCCATCTGTAAGGAAAAAGATACTCCACTCAGACAGAGAAAAACATTCTGCTGGGCAGGAAATGGGATGATGCAGACTCCTGACTTGGGCAGAACGAGCTTGGGGGACTTTTCTTCCTCTGACATCAGCATCAACATTCTTCGGCATCTATAAGCATCCATCAGCACCATTCCCACCCCTGTCCCATTCCCCGCCCCACATATTACTAAGGCAGGATGTCTACAAACTACATTTCCCAGAATCTCTTGGGGCTAAGGTCCTGGATGTCCTTCAGGTTCTCCCATGTGGTTCATGCATGGAAGTCTGGGAAGACAGAGACCAGCTTTCTGCAGTCAGGCATGAGCTGTGGCTGGACAACCACATTCCAATGGTCCCGTTTTTAATTCTAATAGGTGGGGAGTGGCCTGAGAGCAGCAATTTTTATCTTCTGATTGCAGCGGCAGAGGAGTGCTCCTAAAGCCAAAATCCAAGTAGCAGCTCCCTGACTTCAACCGCTCCATCTCTTCCTGGGAGCACCTAGTTCCCTGTGTTCAATCCCTCTCCTGCTTGGAATACCTAGAGCGGGTCCTGTGCCATGCACTGAACCAGGACCGACGCATACATGTTCAGAGACACCAGCTTCTGGGAGTGGAAATGACATGCTGAGTCCTTCACATAAACCATCATTCACCAATCATTTTAAACGAATTTTAAACTTATTCCAGTGCCCTCTGTGTATCAAAGATTGGTAAGGTGTGCCAGGTACCATCTCATGAGCTCCTCTGGACAGCATGGTGACCCCGTAGCTAGAAAACGGTCTGCAATTCTGCTGGTTTCTACTTGTATGAACACGAACAAGACACTTAATAGCTCTGTGCCTTCATTTCTTCATCTGTTCAAAAGGGGATACCAGTCGTCACTACCTTATAGGATTGTTTTAAGATTTTAGGAGCATTCAATGAAAATAGTGAGATTACCCACAACTGTGCCACAAGCATATGACGTGTTGTGGAAGTGTGAGTTGTCGTTTTTTCTTATTCTCAATTTTGAGATGTAGGAACTGGGTTCAGGCTCAGAGAGGCTAAGTGATTTGCCCAAGGAAACATAGCCAGGATGTGAAGGAGAGAGGAGGTAAAACTAGGTCTGTCTTGCTTCTCTTACATCCGATGCATTGTATTTCTCTAAATAGCATTCAGGGCCCTCCTGGCAGAAAATTGAACCTCAGATATGGCACGATAGGCAAGGATACTCACCACGGCACTAAGGAGGTTGTCTTTCCTGCATGTCAAATCTCCCTGCTCACCAAGTCTCATTTCATACTCTATTATAATACCTTCCTGATCGATCTCCAGCTCTCACTGATACACCTGAATTCCCACAGCTTCTTGCACCATTTACATAATTTAGTGCAAAGGGACCTCTTTATCCAGATGGTCCCGAGTTCAAATCCCACCTCAACCAATTACAAGCTTCATGACTAGGCAGACTGCTGAGCCTCAGCCTCCCACCCTATAACATGGGCCTAAAACTAACAAGTTGAAATAAAGGGTCCAGTTCATAGAAGGTGCTCATTAAATAGAACCTGTGATTGGTATTGTGTCTGCACCTATTTAGGGTCATTTCTTGTTTGATCTATGAGTGTCCTGGCTTCCCAAGCAGATCACGAATTCTCTCTGTCCCCACGGCTCACTCACATAACACACACCATGAGGGGCACACTCCGATGTTGAGTCAATTTCTCCCAATCAGGAGTGGGGAACCAGAGCACAGGGTGTCAGCACTGACCGTGAGCTCCCAGGATGCCATGATGATGGCCAGGTTCGCCAGTCGATGGCAGCTGCAGACAGTATGCGTTTCGGAAGCTTCCAGGACCTCACAGCCAGATGGTGTCCACCTGCCGCTCCCCGTGTCTGTGCTCCAGGAAACACAGATGGGCCTCTCAAACTTCTGCTTTGGCTGAAAATGCAAAGGCTCTTGGTCACCTGAGAGCCCTCTTGAATGGACTCAATGTCATAATTGAAGAGTCATTTGGGGCAAGAAGATGCAGGGATGTTCTGTAGGAAATGGATGGAAATGCTGATATTTCCATGTGCAATGATGAAAAGAAATGTCATGGATGCCAGACCTATCTCTACCCCTGGCTTGGTCATAGCTAATGTAAATAAAGTCCACGTGTATATTCCTGCATCAACGTTACATCATCTAAACTAAGTCTTACTGGTTGAGGAAAGGAAGAACACCACATAGAAAGATAAGAGCTCAGCTCTGGCCAGGTGGCTTGGTTGATTGGAGCATCATCCTGCCCACCAAAAGGTTTCAGATTCCATTCCTGGTCAGGGCACATACCTAGGTTTTGGGTTTGATCCCTGGTGGGGACATGTTATGGGAGGCAACTGATTGATGTTTCCTCTCTCATCTTGATCTCTCTAGAAACAAAAAGAAGTAGAAGAGCCCTAACTGGTTTGGCTAGTGAATAGAGTGTCGGCCTGCGAACTGAAGGGTCCCAGGTTCGATTCTGGTCAAGGGCATGTACCTTGGTTTCGGGCACATACCCAGCGGGGAGTGTACAGAAGGCAGCTGAACAATGTTTCTATCTCATCCATGTTTCTAACTCTTTATCTCTCTTCCTCTCTGTAAAAAAATAAATTAAAAAAAAAATATATATATATATATACACACACATTTTTTTTTAAAAGAAGTAGAAGAGCTCATTCTTCTAGAATGGCCCTGTGTTGCTCATCATTGGGTTCCTATGAGAAATGAGAGTCAAGCCTGTCAATCAGCGGGTGGGGGCCCAGTGAGGACCTCTTCACAAACCTCGATGTTCTCCAGAGTGTAGATGACTGGCTCAGAGAACCCTTCTTTCTTCTCCCCCGTCATGACGCCCCCAATGATGCGAGAATTCATCTTCAACTTCCTCTTGGAGTTGGTCAAGGGGGTCTGAGGGTCTTGGAAGAAGCTCTCATCGAGCACAGACTCCATTCCCGCAAAGGAAACCAAAGCCACCCCAGTAGTTCCTGCAAGTCCCCCAAGAGCAAAGAAATGAATAAATAAAAAGAATCATTTGCTCAGTAGGCATCACAGATAGTCCAATACATGCAGACACATGTATGCTTCAGTACCCTGTACATCTCTGCACCATCACTGGCCTGCTCTGAGAATTGACACACCAGTGGATTTCCCAGTGATTCTCAGCAGAACCATAAAATAAAATAAAAAATTTAAAAAAAAATCCCAAGATGCCATCATCTGGACAAATCTGGGCAACCTTCACAAAATAAATTTGAATTTGTACTTTTAAAGAGACAGTTTGACTAAGCAATGGGAACTAACGTCCCTCCCACATTTTTGGTTATTCTCATTCAGTCTCTTGGGTGGTCTCAGTGTTGATGGTCTCCAGGGATGTGCCCTAGGCCTGACCCCGTACCCTTCAGAGAGCACATACTAGTAGATCAGGGGTGACTGACAATGGCCAACAAGCCAATCGAGCCATTGCTTTGGGGTGGTGGGGCTGTTTGTCTGTTTGTCCTAAATAAAAGTTGTATTGCAACATAGCCACACTCATTTCTTTACCTATTGACGTATTGCCTATGAATGCTTTTGCACCATGATGGCACAGTTAAATAATTGGGACAGAGACTGTAATGTCCTCAACACCTAGAACAATTACCAACCAGCCCTCTACAGGGAAAGCTTGCCAACACCGATACAAACTGGCACTGGCACTAGGAGGACAGTAGGAGCCACATGTGTGATTTTAAATTGTCCAGTGGTCACATTTTAGGAAAGGGGAAAAAAACAGGTGAAATTGATTATAATAATTTTTAACTCATATGCAATCAATATAAATAACTACTGTGTTGCCCTGAAAATAAGACATCCTCCAAAAATAAGACCTAGCGCATGGAAAGATAAGACATCCCCTGAAAATAAGACCTAGCGCAACTTTGGGAGAAAAAATTAATATAAGACACTGTCTTATTTTCGGAGAAACAGGGTAGTAATAAGATATTTCACATCTTTATTTTTTTTTTTTCACCAAGCCTCTGGAATTGGTATATATTTTACAGCTTTACCACATTTCAAGTGCTCAATGACCAAATGTGACCAGGAGCTGCTGCATTGGAGAGGGAAGCTCTCGGTCCTAAAGCAGTGTTATGAGAGTATTTATTTCATGTCTGATTTCCCTAGCAGATGGAAAGCTCCATGAGGCCACGGAATGTTTCTACCTCCACCATCAAGGGTCCCTCAGTGTCTGGCACAGGTCTTGGGACTTAGGAAATGATCAATTCATATCTGCTGATTGAATGCACCCAAACCACCCTCCTTGACTCACGAGCAGGTCTGTACCTGTGGATTCAGATTCCTCAATTGTGGTACAGCCAATCTTCATCTCATCCCCTTTGGCTTTCAAGTTGAAGATCACATTCTCTTCCTCACACTCTTCCTGGATAACTTTGCTCTGAATATCTAAAAGGAGAAAGGGAGGCTTTGCATGACCTCGCCCAGAAAGCGGGCCGATTTGGGTTTTGGACACAGGTTCGCATCCCTGATTGCAAGCCAAGGAGAGAATAGAAAGGCCAGTTGGTCCTGGGCATTCATTGGAGCCCCTTCGTGAATGATAGTGGGAGCAGCAAACATGAGCAGCCCCATCGGAGGGAGATCTCACATGGGAAGGGATGCATCAGAGAAAGACGGGGCTGAAGTCAACAGTGATGAAGTCTACAGTGTTGAGACACTCCTGCTACTCCAAATTTAGATGAGTTTTCCAAAGACAAAGAGAACAGGAAGGGACTGGGGTAAGCCCAGTCTGTGGACAAAGGCTCAGGTTCTGTAGTCAGATGACGTGACCTGGGAGGCCTGCTGCTCACCAGCTGTGTAAACCTGAGCAAAGTCTTAACCTCTCTGAACCTCAGGTCTCTTCCATGGAACATGTCTAGAAGTACAGGACTCTTCATGAGAACACAAAACATAATGGGACCAGAGGAGCCCTTTAAAAATCTAAACAATGCCAAGCCTGTTCCCAGACTCTCCAATTCTGCCCCCCAGCTTACTTCCAATAAAAACGTGCGCCCCTACATTGATCTACAAAACCTACCTCTCCCTTTTCTGACTCCTTCTCCTGCAACTATCACTGCCCTCTCCTCCACATCAGCCATGCTGGCCTTCTTAGTGTTCCCTGAACTCGCCAAGTATTCCCACATTTGCTCTTTCTTCAAATATAGGGTGTCCCCCAAAATATATACACACACTGAGTAATTATAAAGGCAGTGTTTATTAAAATACATTTCATTTTCAAAAAACTAAGCTCTCTGCAGTTAAAGTGTGCATACATTTTTAAGGATACCCCTTATTTATCATACTTGGCTCCCTTCCCTCAGGTCCCTGCCCCACTGCGATTTCCCCTAACCATGCTGTGTAAGACAGCAGCACTCCCCCTCATCCTGACCCTCTCTAGCCTCCGTATCCTGCTGCATTTTTTCTCTATAGTACTAGCTCTATCTGGCATACAGATGTCTGTTTGTCTGACTCAACTCATTAAAATATAAGATTCATGAGGCCAGTTTTGTTCACTACTGATAGCAGTCTACCAAGTACTATATTTCCATATCTCAGCCTCCCAGGCACCTATCAGGTTAGAAATTCCAAAGGTTGTGTGACTGATCCTCAGATGAGTACCATGAGTGGGGCACTGCTGTAAAAGGTCCACAGCACTCAGGATTCTCAAGTGGTCACAGATCACATATGTTTAGGGTATATCAGTCAGGAGAGGATCAGTTATGCCTCAGTAACAAACAACCCCAAATCTTAGTGGATTAAAAATAACAATAATTCCCCATCAATGCATTGACTTGGGATGGTGTTCTGTTTTGTCTTTACATTGAGACCTGCACGGATGGAGAAACTGTGATCTGAAGCATGAACTGTCAGTAGGGCAGAGGGAAAGAAAGCTCTGGAAGGTCTCATACTGGCAACCATTCCAGTGTGATCAGGACTAGTCACAAAATTCCACCTAACTCCAAGCCAGAAAGTATCGTCCTACCATGGGCCCATGTGAACACAACAAGTGACTATCATCCCTTAACACCTGGCATAGAGCAGCACTTCGCAAGTCCTTATTGAGTGAATTAAGGACACACTCCAAATGCAGTGCCTGGCAACACACACACACACACACACACACACACACACACAGCACTCAATCCATGAGAAATGCTGATAATATGATTAGAGTTGCTTTTCTATAAGTTCAAAGGTTTGAAACAGTTGGAGAAATGGCATATAGAGAATCACATTGCCGAAGTTACTGCTCAAAACCAGCACCAAGGTGTGACCTTGACATGAAGGATATGTCCTACCCAAGTGCTCCGTCTGAATAGTCTGACTGTCATTCATGGAGGGTTTCAGAAAAGCTGCCAACGTGGTGCTTTCCACACTCTCCAGTAAGACAGTGGCCAGCGTGGAGGTCTCATCTTTGGTGAAGTTGGACCACGTGGATGTTTGCTCAAGCACAGAGGCAAAGCTCTCAGCCGTACTCTGCAAAGGAAAAGGGTGCTTGCTTGCTTTTTCTCTTCCTCTCTCCTCTCTTTGTCTGTCTCTCAGTCTCTCTGCCTCTCTTTCTCTCTGTTTTTTCTGTGTGTCTCTTCTCTCTCATCCATGAAATAGCAACTGTCCTCTCTCATCAAGAGAGTTATTTTACAGCCCTATCCTTGTTTTGCTCAGTAGCTAGAGCATTGGCTGGTGGACTGAAGGGTCCTAGTTTGATTCCAGTCAAGGACACATTCCTTAATTACAGGCTTGATCCCCGGCCCAGTTGAGGCAAGTGGGAAACAACCAATTGATGTATCTCTCACACATGTATGTTTCTCTCTGACATCGATGTTTCTTTCTCTCTGTCTCTCCCCCTCTCTTTCTCTCTCTCTAAAAACCAATGGGAAAATATCCTCAAGTGAGGATTAACAAAAATAAAATAAAATAATTTTAAAAGAGTAATCCAATCCTCTATTAAAAAAAAAATAGATGAGTGGATAAGCAAGCTATGGCCCAGCCATACTCAGCCATGAAAAGGAGTGAGGCACTGACCCTCACTACACAAGGATGGACCTTGCACACAATATGCTCAGTGAGAGAAACCAGACACAAAGGCCATACCATGTGTGATTCCATTCATGTGACATGTCCAGAGCAGGTATATCCGCAGGGACAGGAAGTGGATTAGTGATTGTTGGGTGGAGGTGATGAGGAGAGATGTTTATGCAGTTTCCTTTTGGATGGTAAGGATGTTCTAGAACTACAGTGGTGATGTTGGCTCAACCATGTGAATGTGCTAAATGTCACTAATAGGACAGGGAGCTATCAATAAACACAACATTAACAACTGTCAGAGGCACTGTGCTAAGTGAAAAAAGCCAGGTGCAAAGGGCTGCATACTGTGACCCCATTTATATGATGTTTTAAACAGATAAATCTATAACGACAGAACAGATCAGGAATTTATCAAGCCTAGTGGTGGGCAGAGTATGCGACTATAAAGGGGAAGCCCAAGGAAGTTTGGAGGTGAGGGGGGGGGGTGTGAATTAGAACTGTTCTACATTCTGATTGTAGTGGTAGTACACCCATCTACTCAGGTAATGATAAAACATGTAAAATTGTTTTACATGTTTTGCCCAGGAAAGGGCAATTCTGCTGTATGTTAATTTTTATTGCTTTGTTCTTTTTTTTTTTTTTTTTTTTTTTACTTTATGTTAACTTTTCAAATCTCACAACTTCCAAAAATTAAACGTGAACTCGCAGTTCAATTATAAAGAGGACTTCCTGCACCCCTGAGATATTCAAAACATGAAATACAATTACAATGGTGTCCTTACCTTCAGAGAAACGGCAGTGGTCTTATTTGCACAGTTCTTATCCAGGACGCTGAAGGTGGCATTCATGAGTGCACAAAACGAAACCTGTGCCCAGAAGGAAGAACGCTCGTGAGCATTGATCTGTCCCTCCCCCAAGCATTCAAGGTACAGACTGGGCCTCCAAGTCCACTGCATGGAGTGGCTGGCCCTCAGTCCTGAGGCATCATGAGTCCCTAGAATTCTCAGAGAAATACAAACTCACCCTATGATCCAAACTGGAGCCACAGCACTTTTCTCTTCCATGAATTAAACATCAGACACACATGAAAGCAGAGCATCACGGTAAGGTGAAAATATGGGAAAATATGTGGAAAAAAAAAAAATCAATGGCTGAACACTTACATCTTCCGGCTCCACTGCTGCTCCCACTTGGCAGAGCAGGACCTGTTTGTTGTTGGGGATCACATCTTCTTTACACTTGAAGGGAACTCCTAGGAATAGCACAAACACAACCAAATCAGGCTTAACCACAGCAAGATAATGACTGAAGCGAGTCTGATTATGCCACGCCCTGCTTCAAGTCCAACCACTGCCATGTTCTACAACAGTGGAAACAAGCAAGCTCTACTCTACCACACAGGGATCCTGGGATGTTCTATAAATCTCCCAAACAAACAAATCTAAGCAAGGTATTGCCTAGGAATATATGCAAGGGGAGAAATCTTTAAGTAGGATAATTAACACAAGTTCAGAGTGATTCCCTCTGGGGCAGAGACAGGGGTATGGAATGGGGAAGAAGGACATCGATGATATTCTACTTATGTCGACAAGGCCCCAGGTAGATTCATTTTATTGCTTCCATGTAAGTTATATTTTTAACATCCCAAATAATCTACAATTCTTAAAAATATGTTTTATTGATTTTTTTTCAGAGAGGAAGGGAGAGGGATAGAGAGTCAGAAACATTGATGAGAGAGAAACATCAATCAGCTGCCTCCTGCACAACTTCTACTGGGGATGTGCCCACAACCAAGGTACATGCCCTTGACCAGAATTGAACCTAGGACCCTTGCATCTGCAGGCCGATGTTCTGTCCACTGAGCCAAACCGGTTAGGGCCAAAATAATCCATAATTTAACATTTTTAAACCTCTTATGGTTTTCCATTGTTCTTGACCAAGAAAACTACAAAATTGTTTGCATGGCCCACAATATCCTACAGTGTCTGATAGCCCCTCATCTTCTCAGATACAGCTAATGCAATTTCTCTTACCCTTTTTCTGTGTTAGCCTCAAGGCCTTTGGATGTGACCTTCAGCCTTCATCTGGAAAATTCCTACTCTTTCTTCAAGCTCCAGCTAAAATGCTATTTTCCCAAAGCATATGAAATATCCTATTAGTCATTCCAAAATGTTCTAAGATTTTTCAATGGTCACATTCATCATAGTCATTAAATAATTATTTATGTACTCTCTACTTTTCCCCTTAGACTATAAGCTATGTGAGGGTAAGTATCATATCCATCATGTCCAGGATTAAATTCTCAGTGTACGGGTCAGTTTGATTCATTAACTAATTAACATATGCTCCAAAAATAATGTATTGAACGAGTGAATGAATGAATGTGTAAATGAATGAATGAATAAAGAGAGAACATGTGGATGAGGTGAAAGTAAGAAAAAGATCCAGAGGTTGGGCAGAGTGAGCAAGACACAGATTTCATGGCCAAGACACACAAGGAGATGATTACGTTTGCAGCTGAAGTTGCCATATTTCCAGGAGCCTTCTGGCTTCGGACGAAAGCCCACCTTGCAGCCACAGCTGTAGGAGCCCAGGGCATTGGTGCAGACAGAATTGGGGCCACATGGTGATGGATCTTGCACACACTCATCCATATCTGCAAAGAACTCGAGAATATCAAACAACCAAAGGAACAAGGAGATGCTTTTTGTCCAGGGATGTCCACACAACCCTCCAGTTACCTCTACAGTCCACCCCTTGCTCTGTGAAGTTCAGACGCCCATTGCTTGGTGCAAAGCCAGGGTGACAGGTACAAAAGTAGCTCCCAAAGGTATTGGTACATGTTGCATTGAAAGGGCACATATCCGGGCACTCATCAATATCTGTGTAGTAAAGAAAGGGCATGAAGCAGAGTTGGCCAATAATCCAACAAAAGTAATGCTTCCCATTCTAAAAACAAAGGAGTGGTCGTTTAAATAATGGCAGCCCAACCAGGAACTACATTTCCCAGAATCCTTGGCATCTGGGCAGGACCATGTAGTAACCCATCCCAATATTCTTTTAACATTGTTTCTGTTAACTAGCAAGTAACTTCAGATAAACAGCCTGTTTGCTTAAGAATTCTAGGAATTAACTTCAAAAGAAGCAGAGCCCAACCTCAGTGGTTCTCAACCTTTCTAATGCTGCAACCTTTTAATACAGATCCTCATGTTGTGGTGACCCCCAACCATAAAATTATTTTTGTTGCTATGATTGGGGGTCACCATAACATGAGGGAGGAACTGTATGAAAGGGTCGCGGCATTAGAAAGGTTGAGAACCACTGCATGATCTTCCGGCCCTGGGAGATTTGCTGACCTTCAATCAGTTATCTGATCAGATTGTGCTGACTTGCATGTTGTTCCTTCAATGGAGAACTCTGAACCCTTTCCTTCCGATTTCTTTGTTCTGCTCTGTTTTTGTTTGTTTGTTTGGTTGGTTGGTTATTTGATTAGGTTTTGTATTTCCTCTTCTCTCCTTACAAAAACCACTTCCTGCGTCCAGTTGTTAAGATGGTCTTTGCAATGTAAGTGCACCATCTTCTCAGGCTGCCAGCTCTTGAATAAACCTACTTCCTTTTCACCAATCCTTGTCTCTTCATTATTGGCTTTCCAGTGGCAGGCAGCTGAACCTGGGTTAGGTATCAGTGTGAAGAGTCTTCACTTATGGAATGTGGAAAACTATGACATTTGTCACTTCTGGGCCAATATGACCAAGAAGTGGGTGTGCCTTCACTCTCTTGCCCCACCACTGGCTGAGACCAGGGGTTCCAAGGTCCTAAGGGATAGAAAAACCAAGAAATTCAAGGAGCTGGTAGCCCTACTATCACCTTGTGGAGGATGCTGCCCATCAGCCCCGTATATCCATATTGGATTATTATGAACATAAAAAATTTCTATAATAAGTTAAGCTAGTGGTTCTCAGCTGGGGACAATTTGCTTTTCCAGGGAACACTGGGCAATGTCTGGAGACATGTTTTATTGTCACGACTGGGGGAGGGGGTGCTACTTGGATTTAGTAGGTAAAAGCCAAAGACACTGCCAAACATCTGCCATGTACAGGACAGCCCCCCACAACAAAGAACTATTGAGCCCAAAAAGTCAATAGTACAGAGGTGGGGAAACCCTATCCTAACAAATACAGAGTGGTGTCAGGGCACTGTGGCAACTCAGGGTTATCGCTCCTTCTGAGGGTTTCTAAGCCACAGAGAATATATGGAACTTAATGTCCTAGAAAAAATAATTAGGAGGGAGGCAACAACATCTCCATGTAAAGTCACAAAACTAGAAAAATTGTCCTAGCTGGTTTGGCTCTGTGGTTGGAGCATCAGCCCTCAGACTGAAGGATCGAAATTTCTATTCCAGTCAAGGGCATGTACCTCAGTTGCAGGCTGGACCCAGTCTGAACACGAGTGGGAGGCAACCAATCGATGTGTCTCTCTCACATAGATGTTTTTCTCTCCCTTTCTTTCCCCCTCCCTTCCACTCTCTAAAATTCAACGGGGGGGAAAAAATCCTCAGGTGACAACAAAAACAAAAATTAAAAAAAGAATAAATAAGCAGCATCCACTAGTCACTGAAGCAGGTATGTGGCACACTACACTAGAAATTACCATGGAGAGCCAGGACAAGAAGTTCTTCTGATACAAATGTAGACTAATTTGGAGTCATCAAAGTGGCCCACAGCTGAAAGCATGAGGAAGTGGTTTTCCTCTTGGTGTTACAGAAAACTTCTCTAACCAAAGATTGAGCTTCCCATTTTCAGATATATTGAAGCCTTGTCAGAAGTAGCAGGGAGGGAATTTATATTTTGCATATGGAGCTGAACTAGTGCATGATTTTCAAAACGTTTGGGTCAAGAGAACCTTTGTCCCTGTGAAGTGAAACTTGAGTCGGTAAGACAAATGAAAGAGGTAATGGTGTGACGAAAAGTGGGGTGGAAGTCCATGGTTTGGCTTTCTTGCCCTTGATCAGATTCTGAATAGGCTCTCAGGAGCCATGGGAGCTATATTACTCTCTCTAAGGTCCTTTTGATTTTATCGCTCTACTGTTCTGCTTCTAACAATGTCAGCATCTAGTGTAGATCAATAAGAAGAAATAGACTATTTCTAATTAAAAGAGGCATGATTTCCCATGGGGGTTGAGGAATATAAAATGTGTTCTGCAGTGCAGTTGATACACTGAGGACAGCCTCCATCAACCCTTTCACTTCCTGTATGCATCGGAAATATTCCCTCCCAATGTTCCCCCAGAGGGATGGGTGTTAATTTCTCTTTCCTCTGAACCTAGGCTGTGACCAATAAAAAGTGCTAGAAAACTGCTGAGCCCAGGCCTTATGAGAACTGGCATTTCTGCTTTCTGCCCCTTTGACCGTTCCTTCTTGGAGACCAGTGGCCATTTCATGAGGAAGCCTAAGCAGCCATGTGGAAAGGCCCATGATGATCATTAGGGGCCCAACTAAGCTTCCAGCCAGAGACAACCACCAACTACCAGCCACATAAACAAGGCCATTTTGGATCTGCCAGCCATCCCCAGAAAACCCATGTGGTCAACCTGTAAAATCACGAGCACGAACAAAGTGTTATTGTTATATGCTATTGCATTTCAGGGTCATTTGACCACCGTTGAGAAGTCCTCCTCATGGCTGGGAGAATTACCTGTACATTTGAAAGCCTCTGGTTGCTTGGGGGTCCATAAATGAGGCGAAATGAACCCAGGCAGGCAGGAGCAATTGTATTCTCCCGGGATGTTGGTACAGACAGCATTGGGACCACAAAGAGTCGAGTTTCTGGAACATTCATCCACATCTAAGCAGAAAATTAGTCTAAGTCAGTGATTGGCAAACTCATTAGTCACCAGAGCCAAATATCAACAGTACAATGATTGAAATTTCTTTTGAGAGCCAATTTTTTTAAACTTAAAGTTCTTCTAACACCACTTCTTCAAAGTATACTTGCCCAGGCCATGGTATTTTGTGGAAGAGCCACACTCAAGGGGCCAAAGAGCCTCATGTGGCTCGTGAGCTGCAGTTTGTGGACCATGGGTCTAAGTCATAAAGATGAAGAATGCTGAGGCTATAACAGTAGTACACAGCCCACCAGGGACAGAGCCAAGAGGTTTTCCTGACCCTGTCTCACCTTCTTACACATGTTTTCATCGCTATGGAGGGAAGTATTCAAATGCATGTCTATAACCCACACAACCAGAGGCTCCTCATGGCTCAGGGTAAGACCCCAAACTCCTCATTAGAATCAATGAGACCCTGAGAGCCTGCTCCCAGCTAAGCTCACCTTCCTCATCTTCTGCTTCTACTCCCTGTATAACAAGGGATCCAGATTTGTTGATTACCTATAAGTTCATGAAGATTCTTCTCTCTCATCTGTGTTCCCTCAGAACTCAAGCTCATTCACTTCTTCTTTCCCTGGTGAATACCAGCCCCTCTCCAAGGAATCATATATTATCCTATATGATAAAAGCCTAATATGCTAAGTGTCTGGTCATCTGTTCAACCAATAAAAGTATAATATGCTAATGATATGCTAAGTCCGCTCAACCACTCGCTATGATGTGTACTGACCACCAAGAGGCAGACTCTCTGACCGGCAGGTTAGCTTGCTGCTGGGGTCTGGCCATTGGGACTGTGCAAGATGTGCCAGACACACCATGGACCCCTCCCATGGTCCCTCCCCAGCTGGCCAACCTCCAGTGACCCTCCCTAGCCCTGATCATGCATTGGTGGGGTCCTTCAGCTTGGCCTGTGCCCTCTCCCAATCTGGGACCCCTCAGGGGATGTTGGAGAGGCAGTTTCAGCTTGATCCCACAGAACACACCAAGGGACCCCACTGGTGCACAAATTCGTGCACTGGGCCTCTAGTTAATAATAATAACAACTAAGATATATCAGAGTGGAGGACTGGAGGACAGGACACCTTGGGTGTGAACCACCCTGAGGCACAGTTCAGATGCTGACCCTCCTAACCCCTTGGAAGAGTGACTCCACCACAATGGAGGCTCCATTTCCTCATCTCAAAAATTAGTGTAAAATATCACCAACATGACCGAAGAGGTCACATATGGAAGAGCTTAGGGCCTTGGTTGAGATCCTGCCTCCAGGCCTTTGTACCTCCAGGCCTTTGTACCCTTCTCCAGATACCCAATATCTCCCTCCCTCGGAGTCTTCAGATCTTTCTCAAATATCTACTTCTCGCTGTAGCCTTTGCTCTAATAAAATTAGAAACCCACTCCAGCACTCTCTATCTGCCTTCCCTGCCTTCTTTGTCTTCATCTCCTTTAACTATTCCAGACACACAATACATGCACACATTTATTTTTGTTACCTGTCTCCCTCCACATGAGATGATAAGCTACAGAAAAACAAATATTTTTGCTGGTGTTTTTCACCACTGTATCCACCATCCCTAGAATAGCGCCTCACGTAAAGTACGTGCTCCAGGACTATTTGCTGAATGAGTGCATGAATAAATGAAAGAAAAAATGAATGATGATTGGCTTCACCTTTGTAGATGAGGGCTTTGAACTCAGCTGAGATCCACCCTAATTCCTGACCCACCACTGCAGTCTATGCAAACAGGCTTGGACCTGGATCACCAAAAGACCCCTTCACCTACCTTCACACATCCCCCCTGGGCCAGGGAAACTCCTGTTTCCACTGCCGGATTCAAATCCTGGGTTGCAGACACAAGAGTAGCTTCCAAAACTGTTGTGGCAGGTCGCATGCTCTGGGCAAGCTCTGGGATCGGCACATTCATCCAACTCTAATGAGTGGAAATGAAAACCCAGATCAAGGCAGATGAGGAATTGAGGACAGGAGACTGCAAAAAGGAAACCCCCTCTACATGTTCCTAATCGATGGCAGACAGTACTACTGCTTCCCAATACCCATGTTCCCCTTTCTTCTTCACTTTCCTGGCAGTGAGATGTGCCCCGGGAGAGTAACTTTTGGCCAAGAGTGTGTAAGGAAAAGGGTGGCAAAATAGTTTCAAAACATAAGGATCATAGATTACAGAGGTGTTCATGGTCTTTCACTGATCCCTGTACCTACATCCTGGGATGTGGGCTTTACCACTCCTCTCTTTTAAGATGTGGAGTTGTTTCCCCACCCCTGGATCTAGCTGGCCCAGTGACTTGCATTGGCCAACAGAATGTAGCAAAAGTGATGTGGTGCCAGTTCCAAACTTATACCTCTAGAGGGTTGTTTGTATTCTGCTCATTCTTGGGGCTTCTGCCATATGAACAAACCCTAGTCTGGCCTAACGAAGAATAAAAGACAAAGTGGAAGAGAGATGGATGGCCCCCAGATATGTGGACAGCCCAACCAAGATCAGCAAAACTGACCCCCAGCTGACCGCAGACCCACAAACAAATCCAGTTGAGACCCAAAAAACTGGCCAGCAAGGCCCAACCTCAACTGCCAAGACATAGAACTGAGAGTTAAATAAATGGTGCTGGTTTTTTAGCCACTGACTTTTAGGGTTATCTGTTAGTCAGCAGTAGCTAACTGCTGCAAATGGACTGACTTCAAACATCTCTGGCTCCAAGACAAGAGAATATAAGGAGCATGTCATGCAGTCATCCTCTTTAAATGAACATGGAGAACACCGACTGCACCAGACTCCCTGCCTCTTGGTGAGAATATTCTGACCACAATGTTGGGGACAGAATCAAAGAGCAAGACAGAAACTGCTGTAAACCATCTGGTGTTTGGACCAAAGATGGAGAAGAATGGAGATTCCAGACCATTTACCAGGTCAATCACCCAAGACATGATGACTGATTTAATAAGGAGGGAGATAGAGGATCAAGGGAAACTTTCAGAGCTTAATTTAAATGCCTTTTAGGAAAAAGTTCTGAAGTTTGGGTCTCTCTATGACAGAGTGTCTCGACGTTAGCACTACTGCCATTTGAAATGGGATCATTTTTGTATGGATTTACGTGTGAACAAAACCAACTCCATTTCTGCATCCAGATTTCATTTCATTTTAAGTTTCACGCTGTGATTAACCTCATTGTCCTTAGCAAGCAGATCAAAGCCTTCTGGTTGATGAATATCTATGTTCCTTAAAATGTAGCCACAAATATTTTCATTTATAATGGCTGAAATACCAGGGCAACCAAGATAAATAACAAACTGGCCATCTGTCACAAGACCACAAAAAGAAATGACCCCTGGCTTTGCTGTACTGCATTTTTGTGTCCCTTTGTCTTTTTAATCATTAGTACCTGAGTTATACTATAAAAAAGCACCATAGCCCCAACAAGTTTGGCTCAGCGGATAGAGCATCGGCTTGTGATCAAAGGCATGTACCTTGGTTTCAAGCACATGCCCAGTAAGGAGTGTGCAGGAGGCAGCTGATTGATGTTTCTCTCTCATCGATGTTTCTAACTCTATCCCTCTCCCTTCCTCCCTGTAAAAAAAATCAATAAAATACATTTTTTTAAAAACAACAACAACAACAACACTGCTTCATTAAATAGGTAAACGAAAAAGAGCAGATCCCCCATACCTTCACAGAGAGAGTTGTTAGAGATGAATCCATCTTGGCAGGGGCAACTGTAGCTTCCAAAAGAGTTGACACACTCAGAATGCTCTGGACACACTCCCCTGTCAAGGCACTCATCGATGTCTGAGGAGCAGCAGAAGAGAGTGGGCAGACAAAAGATTGGCTGTCTAAGGTAAATACTTATGTGCCCAACTCAGTGGTAGCTATCACTAAAGATCCATGCAGAGCCCAGGAGCATTACCTGTACAGGAGAAATAACCTGGATTTCCCGGGCTCCAGGTATCTCCGGTGGGAGAAGAGAAGCCAGGCAAGCAGCTGCACTTGTACCTCCCCGGCAGGTTTTTGCAGACTGAGTTAGGACCACATTTTGAGGAACCTGAAGAACATTCATCTATATCTAGACAGAGAAAAAGACAGAGTTACAAATCTGCCTCATCTTGTATAAAAGGCTGTATTTTCCAAAGATGGCTATAAAGTCTTCCATTCCTTATGCCCTTCATTCAGTGTGAATTCGGTACCCCTTTCTTCAAGCATCGGGTCTATGTTCCTTCCCTTTGAATCTAAGCATGTTTGTGACTATGGTGGTAGTGACACTCCAGGTTATAAAAAAAAGCATGCATTGTTCTCTTCAGATGCTCATTCTTAGAACTCAGCCGCCATGCTGTGAGGAAGCCCAACCAGTCATGAAAAAGCAGCCCGCATGGAGAACTAAGACCTCCAGCCACAGGCCTGGTGGGGCAGCCAGCCAACAGCCAGCACCAGCTTGCCAGCCATGTGAGTGGGTCCCTCTTCAAAGTGGATCCTCTATCTCCCACGTGAGCCAACTCAACTGACAGTGTGTGGAACAGAGACACGTTGTCCTCACTAAATTCAGCCCAAACTGTGGATTCATTCATGAGCAAAATAAATGACTGTTATTGTTTTAGCCACTGAGTTTGCAGTTGTCTATTACCCAGTCGAGAACACTTTGCAAAACCACCTCTCGGAATTTACTCATTGAAGCACCCATAGAATTGTGCAATTGTGGTGCCATGATATCACACCACCCTAAATAAACACTTGCTACGTACCTGTCATGTAAATAAAACTTCATGTAAATAAGACAAATCTCCTACAGCTCTCTCCTGGCAAATTGCACCTCTCCTAAAGAGAAATCTGGAACTCCACAGTTCACCAAGATAAGATCATAGGGCTATTCATCCCAGCTTTGCTTGAAGTTATAAAACTTTAGAAACAACCTAAGTGTTAATAACAGGATGATTAAATCTGGAGATACATAAAGAATAACATGTTCTTTCATTTGACAAATATCTATTGATACACTGTATAGGTCACAGACATAGAATGGACAAAATTCTGGCTGTAGTATCCACCACTTTCTAGATGAGGAATGTGCATTTCACCCCAAATTTAAAAACCAAGGCCCACCAGCACTACTGAGCTCACTGAATAATCCATGAACCATAGCACAAAGAAAGAGATGTTTGGGAGCTAGAATGATAGAAATGATTTATCTTGTTCAGCCAACTACAGTCCACGGTCAAATTCAGTCCACCTCATCCATTTTTTATAAATAAAGTTTTATTAGCACACAGTCACATCCATTCATTTATGTATCATCTATAGCTGCTTTTACAATACAGCTGGAGCATTGAGTAGTCATGATAGAGACCTGCATGGCTTACAACCTCCAAAATATCTGGGCCCACACAGAAAAAGTTTACAGACCCCTGATCTTATTCAAAGGCACAGACAGATCTTTACTGTCAAGCAGAGAACTGGGGTATAAATATGAGAAATTCAGACAAAGAACTTTGCTCATTCTGGGAACTATTTGAGTTTATATTATTTATGTTAATAGTAGTTCTTAGGATTATATGTGTGCCTAGTGTACTGCAAACATTATTGCACTTAATATTCCCAACTCTCCTTGGAGGTAGATGCTCTTAAATACCTATTTTGCAGATAGAAACATTGAGGCTTGGAGAGATTAAATTCATTTCCCCAGCACCTCACAACTAGAGTGTTAACAGACCACCATTTAAAGTCATAAAGACCTGGGTTTGAATTTTAGTTCAACTGCATGATGCTACACAAGTCATTTCAGCTCTTGGAGCCTCAGTTCCCTCATCTGTCCAATGGAGACACATCCCACTGAGACAGTTGATCACATGGGAAAATGCACCTAAAGCCCTTGCACGGGCTTTAATAAGTGTTAGAAAATCTTATTATCTACACTGAGAAGGAGGGTCCCCAATATGAGATCAGTGGATATTGATAAATAGCATGATCTTTATTTTTTATAATGTCAGTCTCTAATTATTGAAATTTTTAGTGATCAGGAATCATTTTCTTTCTTTTTTTCTTTTTTTTAATGTATTTTATTAATTTTTTTACAGAGAGGAAGAGAGAGGGATAGAGAGTTAGAAACATTGATGAGAGAGAATCATCGATCAGCTGCCTCTTGCACACCCCCTACTGGGGATGTGCCCGCAACCAAGGTACATGCCCTTGACAGGAATCGAACCTGGGACCTTTCAGTCCGCAAGCCGACGCTCTATCCACTGAGCCAAATCGATTTCGGCAACCAGGAATTATTTTCATGAGAGAAGAGAGGGGGAGAGAGAGAGAGAGAGAGAGAGAGAGAGAGAGAGAGAGAGAGAGAGGAAGAGAGAGAGAGGAAGAGGAAGAGAGAGAGGAAGAGGGAGGAGGAAGAGGAGGAGGAAAAGGAGGAGAAGGAGGAGGAGCTTCCACCTAACTTTCTGATGAATGCCAGAGGATTTTGAGGAGGTATGCACTCACCTTTGCATTCCACTCCTGGGCCTCTGAACTGCGTCAGTCCATTGCTGGACAGGAAGCCTCGTTTACAAGTACAGTAGTAACTCCCCACAGTGTTGGTGCAGGTGGCATAAGCTGGACATGTGGTGGTGTCCCAGCACTCATTCACATCTAGGCAGTAAAAAAAAAAATAAATAAATAAATAAAAAATGAAGATCTTAGGTTCCAGCACCAGAGTGGAGCTGCAGGGAAAACCAGTGGGAGAATAAGAAGGCAACTGTTTTTGGTCAAAGTGTGACTCCTGTGAAGTTATTGAAGTCCCAAATCCTGGTCCCTGAGACTATGAACTTATTTGGAAACAGGGTCTTTGTAGATGTCATTAAGATGTGAGTTAAGATGAGAGCATACTGGAGTAGGATGGTCCCTTAATATGACATGATTGGTGCCCTTATAAGGAAGGGAGGAGAGGTACAGAGACATAGGGAGAGGACCATGTGATGACGAAGGCAGAGGTTAGAGTGATGGGTCTACAAGCCAAGGAATGCTGGCAACAGAAGAAGTTGGGAGAGGGGCAGAGACTGTTCTTCCCCTGGAGGAAGTACCTGATTTTGGACTCTGGCCTCCAGAGCTGTGAGAGAATAAAACTCTGTCCGGATAGAGTGACCAAGGATGCTCATCAAGGACCCCGAAGGCCTAGGACCCTTCTTTCTCAAAGTGTGGTCCATGGCCTGGTGAAAGCTAAATCTCAGGCCCTGCCCCAGACCTGCTGAATCATAATCTGCGCTGTAACAAGATCCTCAATGATCTGTGGGCCCAGGAAAGTGTGAGATGCACTGACCTGGACCCTTGCTACTCCACATGTGGCCTCAGGTCAGTAGCCTCTGTCTTGCCTGGGATCCCCAGGAGAGCTTGGAATATCAGATGTTGATTCAGCAGGTCAGAGGCAGGGCCTGAGATACATTGTAGCCAGTCCGGCCCTGGAACATTTCACCTCTGTACCTCAGTTTCCCTGTTTAGCCCTCACCCTCACATCCAGTGAGTCTCTCCCTCGTTGATTCTCCCTTTCTCTCCCAAATATCATTCTGCATCTACTAACTTCTCTCCATCTCCACGGTTATGTTTGGTACAGATCTTCCTCTGGATTATATAATTAGTCCCACATCCCTCATTGTGCCCTGCAATCGTCTTTGTATGCAAATTTCATTATCCACCCCATCCCCCCCTATAATCCTGCCTGTTGCACTCATAATTAAAACCCAAATTCTTTAACATGACCCAAAATAGTGAGGAGACCTAATCACATCTTTAAGCCTCATCTCATGCCTGTCTCCATTTCTAGCTTTCCCACCACAGGGCCTTTCTTTGCACGGGCTGCTGTTCCCTTTGACTGCATTGCCTAACGGTGGACGGCAAACTCATTAGTCAACAGACCCAAATATCAACAGCACAACGATTGAAATTTCTTTTGAGAGTCAAAGTTTTTAAACTTAAACTTCCTCCACGCCACTTCTTCAAAATAGACTCTCCCAGGCCATGGTATTTTGTGGAAGAGCCACACTTAAGGGGCCAAAGAGCCACATGTGGCTCACAAGCCGCAGTTTTCCCACCACGGACATAACCAGTTCCTATTTGTTCTTCAGGTCTCACTTAAATGTCACTTCTTTCAAGAAGCCTTCCCTGACTCCCCCATTGCTACTTGTGCTCCTTCTTTGTGACATTCATTACTATTACAATTGCTCAGTTATCTGCGTGATGAGCTCTTCACCACACTGAGATCCGGAGGACAAAGCCACAGATAGGAGCAGGCTCCAGGTGCTAAGGAAGATGCTCACTTGATATTATCATCCCTATGGTCAGCAGAATAATAATGGCTTCCCTGAAGATGACCACGTCTCATCCCTGAACCAGGTGAATGTTATGCTACACAAAAGGGGGGAATTAAGGTTGCATATAGATTGCTGATCCGATGACCTTGAGGTCATCTAAGATTATTGAGGAGGAGACAATGTAATCACAGTGTCTTTACAAGTGAAGGATGAAGGAGGCAGAGTCAAAGTGATGCAATGAGAGAAAACCGCAGCCAGCCATTGCTGACTGTGAAGATGGAGGATGGGGACAAGACCCCAGGAATACAGTTGACCTCTAGCAGCTGGAAAAGGCAAGAAAACAGAGTCTCCCCAGGACCTCCAGGGAGGAATACAGCCCTGCCGATGCCTTCATTGCAGCCCAATGAGACCCATTTTGGACTTCTGCTCTCCAGAACTGTAAGATAATGTTCTTGTTGCATTAAGCCACCAAGTTTTTGGTCATTTGTAACAGCAGCAATAGGAAACTGATACAGTTCCCACTGCGTGGATGTGGAAAATAGGCTCAGAGAGGTTAGGTGACTTGCCCAAGGACACACAGTTGGTAAGTGGCAGCACCAGGCCTGTCAACCCCCAAAGTGCATGATTTCCACCACTGCTACACAAGAAGAGGTAGGTCTGGCTGGAAATGGGATACATTTTCATGCTCTTCCTAAGACAATCCTGTAGGAAAACTTGTAGAATTTCAAGTCTGTTGCCCTGATGGTCTGTGAGCTCCCAGAAAGCGGCCATTTGTGTCTCTTGTTTACTGCCATGTCCTGAATGCACAGAACAGTGCCCAGTACACAGCTGTTGCTCATAAAGACCTTACTGAGAAGGTCACATCAGAGCAAAAACCAGAGGGAGGAAAGCAAGTGGGCCTTAAGCTACTTAAGGCAGAGGAAAAGGCAAGGATTAAAGGACGATTTCATGGAATTCCAAGGAGGCTGGTGTGATTGGAGCAGAGCGGATGAGGGATGGCCAGACCATATAGGATCTGCTAGACCAGTGGTTCTCAACCTTCCTAATGCCGCGACTCTTTAATACAGCTCCTCATGTTGTGGTGACCCCCAACCATAAAATTATTTTCGTTGCCACATCATAACTGTAATTTTGCTGCTGTTAATGAATTATAATGTACATATCTGTGTTTTCCAATTGTCTTAGGTTCTACAGCAGTGGTTCTCAACCTGTGGGTCACAACAACTTAACTGGTGGTCACTAAATTAACCTAAGTGACCCACAGGTTGAGAACCACCATCAGGGTCGCCTAAGACCATCGGAAAACACAGATATTTACATTACTATTCATTAACAGCAGCAAAATTACAATTATGAAGTAACAACAAAAATAATTTTATGGTTGGGGGTCACCACAACATGAGGAACTGGATTAAAAGGTTGAGGCATTAGGAAGGTTGAGGACCACTGTGCTAGACCATTGTAAAACTTCAGCTTTTCATCGGAAAAAGATGGGAGCCCCGGGAAAGTTTAGAGCAGAGGAGGGGCACAACATGACAGGATTTACACAACCTTCCAGCCACTGGTGGGGAAGATGAGCTGGAGAGAGCCAGTGGCAGTGTGACAAGGCAGGCAGCCTCTGCCCTTGTCCAGGTGAGCGGTGGAGCAGAGGAAGCAAGAGATTCTGCCTTTATTCTGAAGGTAACGCCAATAGGATTTGCCAATGGACCAGATAGGGGGTGTGAAAGAAAGAGAGGGGTCAACAATATTGCCAACATCAACTGGTAGGACTGGATATCATAGGAAAACTCTTTATAGAAAGTGCTAGAAAAACATCATAGATGAATTACCATGATTAGGATCTTGAGAACTGGGGGTTTTGGGTGTGTTTTGGGGTTTTTGTTTTGTTTTTTTTGCCTCCTGTGAATGTCTTGTTGATTTCCCTTTCCTGCACTCAGATGGTATCTCTCTTCTCATTTCCAGCTTCCTCTTTCATCTGCAAGGCCAACCTTTCTCTCTGCAGACTTCCGGCACATCGCCCCTTGCGGTCTCCCTGCTCAGCTTCCCAAGCTCTATCTTCCTCTAGCTCTATCTGCCACTGCTCCAGGCCGCCCCCAACCAGAACAGCAGCCCAGTCCCCTGAGTCCAAGCACCTGTCCACCTCTCCAGCTCATCTCCTGTCCTTTGCTCGGTTCCCCAAGTCCTTTCCTGACTCGGGACCTGAGCACCACCCCTTGCAGACCTTGGGACTTGCCAACCGCTGTTAATCAAGTGAGCCAACTCCTTGTAATAGATCTCTCCATATACGAATGCCTATATCAAGATATGTACATGTCCATCCTATTGGTTCTGTTTCTCTGGAGAGCCCTGACTAATACAAATACCTCCTATATGCCCAGATTCTTCTAGGCATGGTAGACTCAACAGTGGAACAAGACACAAAATTATCAACCATCACAGAGCGGATAATCCAGAGAGGAGCGGGTGAGTCATACTATGTCAAAAAATAGGGTAGTCACTGCAAAGATGACACAGGAGCTGAAACACAAAGATGGTGATGGAGGGATCCATGTGTCTATACAGGGCAAGAGTATCCCAGGTGAAACGCCCAGAATATGCAAAGGTCCTGAGGCAGGACTGGGCCTGGTGTTTTGGAGAAACAGCAATGAGGCCCATGTGGCTGGACAGAGTGAGGGAGGGAGGAGCTGAGCGCAGGGATGGGGCGGGCCATGCAGGGTCTTATGGGCCTTGGGGAGAACTTCGACTTCTATCTTTTTTTCTTTTTCTTTTTTTAAAATATATTTTATTGATTTTTTTTTACAGAGAGGAAGAGAGATGGATAGAGAGTTAGAAACATTGATGAAAGAGAAACATTGATCAGCTGCCTCTTGCAAACCCCCTACTGGGGATGTGCTCACAACCAAGGTACATGCCCTTGACCAGAATTGAACCTGGGACCCTTCAATTCGCAGGCTGACGCTCTATCCACTGAGCCAAACCAATTTTGGCTTGGCTTCTATCTTGAGGGAGGTCGGAGCCCTAGAGGGCTCTGGGTAAAGGAAGGACAAGACCAACTCAGATGCTCACAGGTGCTGTCTGGCCACGGCTGGCAGGGCAGGGAGCTGGGGTACCAGGCCAAAGGCCACTTCAACAGTCCATCTGTGACACACACGATGCTCAGTCACGAGCAAAACAGCTTAACTGGTGGTCACTGAATTAACCTAAGCAAAAACTGTGGCTTAGAGAGACAGAGAGAGCTTTGCAAGTATTTCCATTTGTAGGTCCCTTCCTTGCATTTCCCGCAGTCCCCACAGTAGCACTGACAGGTGAGGTGCACAAGTCTTTTTCCCGGGCTTTCAGGGTGCT